TATCTATACTTTTCCTGATCGCCAATTTGGTAAAGTCTGTTTTTTTCTTTGATTGACGTTCTTATACCTTTTGTAATCCAAGGCTTAGAAAATTGTTTAATCCTACATTGAGAAAGGGTTTTAAACGGTGCATGTTTATTTATAATTTTATTAAAATTTCTATAGAAAGTTGAAAATAGCTCCTCTACATTATTTGCATGCGTTTTAATGATGCAACTCCAGTCAATCGTAGCAAGGTCGCTGTTAAGACTATCACGATTGAAAGGCGAAAGATCGCGTTTTTTAATTTGCTTCCGTTTAGTTTTATCTCTTGTTGATGTCAAAATACAAAACTGCGAAAAATGATCGCCGACATCAGTAATGAGATTACTGCTGATTAGCACCTGCTCAGGATTGTTCACAAAAATGTTATCGATTAAGCTTGCAGAATTTTTGTGAACATGTGTTGGTTTGTCAATAGTTGGAAGGAGATAACAACTTTAAAGAGCCATTAAGAAGTCGCGACTGTAATTACAGGTTTCGATTTTTTGTAGACATAAAATTAAAATCACCTAAGAGACATAACTTCTTTCCTGTCGAAGTAAATTTGTCGATAGTCTCTTCCAATCAATCAGTTTTGCGGATCGGATTTACCGACCAGTTATCGATCAAATTATATTGTGCTAATTTTCTACCAGATACGTAGAATCGATCAGCCAGCATATCATCAATCAGTAATCTGTCGTGTAAAATCAATAGGCCACTTGCACTAAGATGTCACGTGACCAATGCTTCCTTTAAACAATGAGTTGGAATCTTGCTTATATGAAAAATTTACAGAGCACATAAAAGTTATCTTACACCTTAAATTTGAGGGGAAAAACATTCAAGGAAGATATTTTAAGGCACTTTGATTTTTCAACAATGCAGTTTGATTTGTATTGGCCGCCATGTTGGAGGGCACACTCTTGCCTTCCAACATGGCAGCCAAAACTACTTTTTGCTTATATCTTGTTAAACGTGTGACAGTTAGGCTCAGATGCGCTTTAAACGTTACCACATCATCTTTTCAACATTCCTTGAAGTCTAATTTAAAAATTGAATTCAGAAAGAGGTGATTCATAATTTTAAAAATCACATTTTGGTCACCTGACCAGCTACGAACTTACTCATTTTAAGAAAATGATGCCGGTTTGAAAAACCAAATTACTATTATTTTGTTCAAGATGTGACTCACTCATCGTTTTTCGAAGGCAAAATCATATAAGTTTCATTTTCATAAAAACGATGTCACGTGACTGCTTAGTGCAAATGGCCTATCATATGTCCGTAACCAACCATGATAAGCTGTCTCAAATTTCGATCAGTTTTGCTGATAATCGATCAGTTGTCGGGTACTATACTATTGATCAGCATAAACTCGGCTTGTGCAATCTACCACTTGTGCATATTTTCATCCAGTTGTGACTAAAATCGATTAGTTGTTAAATGATCGATTACTGCGTATTTTCATTCAGTTGTGACTAAAATCGATTAGTTGTTAAATGATCGATTACTGCGTATTTTCATTCAGTTGTGAGTAAAATTGATCAGTTGTTACATGATCGATCAGTAGTACGTTTTTTATTCAGTTGTGACTAAAATCAATCAGTTGTGTTTTTCATTCAGTTGTGACTAAAATCGATCAGTTGTTATATGAGTGATCAGTTGTGTTTTTCCATTCAGTTGTAACTAAAATCGAACAGTTGTCATATCAGCGATCAGTTGTGCGTATTTTCATTCAGTTGTCGCTAAAATGGAACATTTATCATATCAGCGATCAGTTGTGCGTATTTTCATTCAGTTGTGACTAAAATCGATCAGTTGTTATATGATCGATCAGTAGTGCATATGTTCATTGAGTTGCCACTAAAATCGATCAGTTGTTATATGATCGATCAGTATTGCGTATTTTCATTCAGTTGTGACTAAAATTGATCAGTTGTTATATGATCGATAAGTTGTGTGTATTTGCAATCAGTTGTGACTAAAATCAATCAGTTGTTATATGATCGATCAGTTGTGCGTATTTTCATTCAGTTGTGACTAAAATCGATCAGTTGTTATATGATCAATCAGCTGAGTGTATTTTCAATCAGTTGATTTTATGTATCTGGTAGAAAATTAGCACAATATAATTTGATCGATAACTGGTCGGTGAATCCGATCTGCAAAACTGATTGATTGGAGTTGATAGTAAACTACTAAGAGAGTGTTCTTAATAATGACGACGAAAAAGCAATAATGGAAAGATCAAGGAGTCCTTCTTTCTCATTTTCAGCGCTTATATCCATGATTCAGAACAGAAAAAGATTAAAAATTTATAACCAAAGAAAAAATGAATTTTGAAACAACGGCGCGCCATACGTGTGTACACAATCAGGCATGCGAGCTAAGTTAATGAACTCTTTAATGGTACTTAGTCTTGTACCCTGCAGAAGGCAGCATTGCTGAAACGTCAGTTAAGACTTTTGAACAGTGTTGACTTTACAATTTTCAAAGTAACATTAACGCTGTGTTGTTCACAAGTGATACTCTTCCTGCTTAATAATATGTAGAGCCACCATATTCAATACGAATGTTTCTAATGCATAAATTAAAGGGGACTTTCCTGGAAAAGCTGAGCTGAGCTTGCAGAGATCTCCTGCTAATAGATCCTGTTATAGATGTAATACATTAGTAATTAAGTGGCAAATAAAAAAAAGAAACTTATTGTGACAGTGTTCTTGTCCTGAAAACGTGTAATTAGGATGTTTCACGTCATAGTCGTGCAGTGACAGGAAACAAATGTACAAAAACGTGTGATGCACATGCATAGAGTTCTGGTTTTGCTTATAATCCCCTATTGTTTTTCATGTTCCCGTTGTCGCTATGTTTCTTGCTTAAGCTCCCTAATGTTAAGTGCAACACGCATCAGGACAGACTGCTATAGGCTAATCTTGGCTGACGTCATTGTTTACATTTTGGTTGATTACCATAAAATTTTCTTGGATTCATGAGCTCACCATGGGAGTGGGAAAACCAGGTGGAAGGTGTTGATAACTGTTTGGAGAAGATTGAGGAGGGAACGTTTGTTGCAGTCCACCTGGCCAATTACGATAAAGTGCAAGTAATTGGAAAGGTTCTTGAAGTGAGTGAAAATATGGTCAAGATCCACTAGTGGAAAGTGTCCTTTAAGGGGTAGTGGAGTCTCAGCAGGCGGACACCATGGGTTGATGAGCTGCCAAAAACATGCATCATCTTGTGTTTATTTTCTTCAAGTGAGGATGGCAAACTATTACTGTCTACCAGGAAGTATGCCAAATTAAAACAGAAAGAGTAGCACTGATTATAACACAAGAATGAGGCAGAAGCAACTTCGTGCCCAGGGCGCTTTTCCCTGGCTTGGGAGGTGGGGCAGGAAAAGGCCCTGGCATTGGCCAGTCGATCTGTCATTTTCATTGGTTGATTGATTTAGGTAATTTATGTAAGAAAATGATCAACAAAAAATAATTTATGCATTATACCGAAATCGAAATGGCAGTATTTCAACTCCAATAAAGATTTCTGCAAGAAATCCAGTTTGCAGGCTATGTGGCGGTTCCTATCAGAGTCACTATATGCTTCCGATATTCAGCAAGGCCAGTTCAACTAAAGATCTGTGTTAGAAAGTTAAAAAAAACATGTGGGATCAAAATTTCTGAGGACGATACTAGGTCAGCGAGGTCAACAGTGTTGTGTGGGACTTGCGTTACCTTCGTAGAAAAAATGGATCAGTTTATTCGAAGGGCTCGATTTCTAGACAATACGCTGTCTGATCTAAACTCAGAATATTCTGTACAGTGATGCTTATGAGCGAGAGATGGCATGAACTTAACCTGGTGAAGCGTGTGAGCACAGTTCTCATCACTGAGGGTGAATGTACCAAACAGGTATTTCAGCTTACTGAAATGTAAAACATCAAACATTGGTTGACATCCTGCCCCTATTTCAGACCAAAAAAAGTAATTTTCCACACCTGTTTTCAGACCAGACTTCTAAAATCCATACCCGTTTTCAGACCTGGCCTTTAGGCAGAAATTATGTTATCATTACTTAGTTTAGAGCGCAAACAAAACAATTCTTCAAATCCATTTCCAATTTGCATATCTCTCTTTATTTCTTACTCATTTGTATGCTATTGAAACGACAAATACGTTCAGACACTCCTGTAGTTCCCTCGAAAACCATACCCGATCTCAGACCAAAATGGGCAAAGTGTATACCAGTTTTCAGACCACAATGGCGTAAAAACCCTACCCGATGGGCCGCACATACCTATATAGCTTATCAGAATAGGGGAGTACCCCCTCGTGGTTGATTCCCGTACTAATATTTCCTTTCACCCACACAGCAGTATTTATATTTTGCCATTCGAATCATGCATTGGATGCAATCTGAAATTCACACTTCTTGTAGAGTTTGTTATTGTTATGTAGTAGTTTGTGATTCATTTTCTATTTGAAAGATCCATCCTTATAATGAAGCCTAGAAAAGAGAACTGCCCTGTGGATATTGAATTTGTTTTTAATTATTGACTCCCTTTAAATAGCTCCAAGAACGACTAAATAAACATGGTGTATGCCTGTCATCTGGGAGAAGAGATACCCTTCTGAGGCTGTTAGGAGGGCACTTCTCAGACATAGTAAAGAAAGGCAGTGTGTTCCGAGGTACTGGTGACAACTGGCATTTAAAAATTTTGAAAGGACATTATGAGAAAGGAAGTCCAGAATGAGGATTTGCACTTGTTTGCCAGTAACCTAACTGAAAACAGAATCAACTTCAATCACTTGCCCAACGACAACCCCTGAGGAAATTTTTTTTCCTTAAATGTAAATGAATGGAAGACATACGCAGAATGTGCCAAAATTATTGTCGGGCGAATTGTTCTTGAGTTCTGTCCCAAATTTAAGTTCTTGAGGGCAGTTATCCCCAATCACATTTCTCATGAGTACAGTCCACAAATGTCACAGAAGTCTACCATAGTTAGTTTGCCAATCATCAATGCAAATGAGTCCAAGTATGATGATTATGTTAACATTTTAAGAACTTACGAAAAGTGGATTGCTGAAATCTATGTTCAGGCTTGGCTGCTAGATGAAATACCACACACTGACAGTCCACCAGTTCCTGAAGGACCTGCAGCACCTGGCCAGACAAATGCACACAGACAAGACACTAACGATAACCCAATGAGGGAAATAAAGATTCTTTTTGCTGGTAATCAGCTAACCCGGGTGAGATTTGCGGGAGCCAAAGATTTGCTGTCAGGTTCACACACAGCATCTGATTTTTTTAAACATGGCTCCCCATTTAAACCTGTGATGTGGCACACCAAAGCTTCTCTTCTACAGTACACATACTCATTTCTGTACAAAGCAGAGACTGTAAATCAAATTGGTACCTTGAAGTACTTCAGAGAGAAGGATAATAGAAGAAATGCTACCCCTTCCAAAGTTCTTGACTCCTATGAAGGACGTGAAGAGCTGTTCCTCAGTGTAGGGAAAGCTTACATAATAACAGCAGTCCTGAACGTTTTTGGGATGTCCAGCCTTGAGGATACACTATCATTACATAAATTTCTACAAAACATTGCACGTGAGAGCACAGAAAATAAGACGAAATACTTTTGATACTGCCTGCATAAGTATCATGACGGGTGACGACTGGGACCAAGACGTCGATGGCCACAGGGAAATTTAAGCGACGTCATCTTTGCGTAAGCTTCTTAGTACTGTGCCTGCTTTGTCTGTACCTGTGGCGTCTGTACCTGTGACTACTGTGCCTGTGAGTAAGTACTGTGCCTATGACTGCTGTGCCCGCGACTACTGTGACTGCACAAGACCGCAAACTTAGAAGAACAAGTCATCCTGGAGGAAGAAATATTACTGGTTAAGGAAACCAAAGTTACTTGATTGTTAGATATTCTTGTGGAATTATTCAAATACTGCATCCATCCCGGCTGTACAAATAAAGCAAGTTTTAAACAACACACAATAGGCCCAACTTAGATTATTAACTGGAATTGCCCATCTGGTCACCACGGGAGATTTTCCTCTCCCAGATACGTTAATGCCATGTATGCTAACAATCTTCACGTAGCTGCTGCAATCCTGCTATCAGGGAACAAAGTTTAAAAAACGGCAAGATTTATGGGTCTGTCCTTCTTTTAGATGCCACATTCTTCAGGATGCAGAGATTGTACCTAATACCTGTTGTAAACGTAAAACGTAAATTGTAAAATATTTTTACAAGGTAGAGGAATAAATCTCAGTTTTTAGAGCTGATCTATTCACCTTCACATCTTGATTTCCCTGATTCTCTCCACCTCTTCCCTGGGCCTGTAATTACGGGCCTGGTACTTATTTCTGTTTTTTTGTTTGAACTGGACGATGAACTGTATGAGGCTAGGACAAATACACTCAAGAGAAATAAATACCACGAGCAATTGTTATGCAAGGCTTTCTTACACAACTTTCTACAAAGTTGTATATCAATAAATCTTTTCACTTACATATGTACATTTAAGATGAACAAACACAAGTAAAGTGTCCCCTTAAGGTAAAAAAGCAGTGCAAATTCAGTAACTGTAAGAGCCAACCTTGTTACGACACGGTTTTACTGTCGAGCTGCAAGAACAATGGCTTGAGCATATAAGGCCTTCTGTTTTATGGGGATGACCTGTTTGCGCTGCTGGTTTGTCTTGTTAAGCAAGTGCTTCCACAAGAACAAGAGATCCTATTTTCCTAAAAGAGAGGAAGGCGAAAATGATAATTTGGATTAAACCATAAAAGTGACTTGCTACAGATCGTGGCCATAATTCTAACTCCTGATGGCCCAGATGGATAAAATGTATTGTAAACTGCCTAAAGGCAACTTCTAGGGGCGCAAATGTAACAACAAATTGAAAAAACCGACAGATCTTCCTCAAATCCAATATGGCCGACAGCTTGTTGCTTCAGGGCATGAACTACATGTTAGCAAACCATATAGTCGTGCAACAAAAATTAAATGAACACTGTGCACAACGTTTTGTAAGTAATACGCCCTTCTCAAAACTATTTAGTTTCTGTACTTATTAGTCCTTTAGTGTCCTTACCAGTCCTTTTCTGTCCTTAGTAGTCCCTTAATGTCCTTACTAGTCCCTTTCTGTTCTCACTAGTCCTTTAGTATCCTTACTAGTCCTTTTCCGTCCTTACTAGTCATTTTGTGTCCTTATTAGTCCTTGTCTGTCCTTACTAGTCCTTTTCCGTCCTTACTAATTCTTTGCCGTCCTTACTAGTCCTTGTCTGTCTTTACTAGTCCTTTTATGTCCTTATTAGTCCTTTTCTGTCCTTACAAATTCTTTTCCGTCCATTTATGTCCTTATTAGTCCTTTTCTGTCCTTACTAGTCCTTTTACGTCCTCATTAGTCCATTTCTATCCTTCTTAGTCCTTTTCTGTCCTTACTAGTCCTTTTGTGTCCTTACTAGTCTTTTTATGTCCTTATTAGTCCTTTCCTGTACTCACTAGTCCTTTAGTGTCCTTACTAGTCTTTTAATGTCCTTATTAGTCCTTTTCTGTCCTTACTAGTCCGTTAGTGTCCTTAGTAGTCTTTTAATGTCCTTATTAGTCCTTTTCTGTCCTTACTAGTCCTTTAGTGTCCTTACTAGTCTTTTAATGTCCTTATTAGTCCTTTTCTGTCCTTACTAGTCCTTTAGTGTCCTTACTAGTCCGTTTATGTCCTTATTAGTCCTTTTCTGTCCTTACTAGTCCTTTTAAGTCCCAACCAGTCCTTTTCCTTCCTTACTTGTCCCTTTTATGTCCTTAGTTGTCCCTTTCTGTCCTTCCTAGTGTCCTTTTCTGTCTTTACTAGTTCTTTTCTGTCCTTACTAGTCCTTTTCTGTCCTTACTAGTCCTTTTCTGTCTTTACTAGTTCTTTTATGTCCTTACTAGTCCTTTTCTGTCCTTACTAGTCCTTGTTATGTCCGTACTTGTCCTTTTCTGTCTTTACTAGTCCTTTAATGTGCTAACCAGTCCCCTTCCATCTTTACTAGTCCTTTTTATGTCCTTACTTGTTCCTTTCCGTCCTTACTAGTCCTTTTCTGTCGTTACTTGTCCTTTTCTGTCCTTACTAGTCCTTTTGTGTCCTTACTAGTCTTTTTATGTCCTTATTAGTCCTTTTCTGTACTCACTAGTCCTTTAGTGTCCTTACTAGTCTTTTAATGTCCTTATTAGTCCTTTTCTGTCCTTACTAGTCCTTTAGTGTCCTTACTAGTCTTTTAATGTCCTTATTAGTCCTTTTCTGTCCTTACTAGTCCGTTAGGGTCCTTACTAGTCTTTTAATGTCCTTATTAGTCCTTTTCTGTCCTTACTAGTCCTTTAGTGTCCTTACTAGTCTTTTAATGTCCTTATTAGTCCTTTTCTGTCCTTACTAGTCCTTTAGTGTCCTTACTAGTCCTTTTATGTCCTTATTAGTCCTTTTCTGTCCTTACTAGTCCTTTTATGTCCCAACCAGTCCTTTTCCATCCTTACTTGTCCTTTTATGTCCTTAGTTGTCCTTTTATGTCCTTACTTGTCCCTTTCTGTCCTTCCTAGTCCTTTTATGTCCTAACCAGTCCTTTTCCGTCTTTACTAGTCCTTTCCTGTTTTTCCTAGTCCTTTTATGTGCTAACCAGTCCCCTTCCATCTTTACTAGTCCTTTTTATGTCCTTACTTGTTCTTTTCCGTCCTTACTAGTCCTTTTCTGTCATTACTTGTCCTTTTCTGTCTTTACTAGTCCTTTTATGTCCTTACTTGTCCTTTTCTGTTCTTCCTAGTCCTTTTATGTCCTAACCAGTCCTTTTCCGTCTTTACTAGTCCTTTTTATGTCCTTACTAGTCCTTTTCTATCTTTACTAGTCCTTTTTATGTCTTTACTAGTCCTTTTTATGTCCTTACTTGTCCTTTTCTGTCTTTACTAGTCCTTTTATGTCCTTACTTGTCCTTTTCTGTCTTTACTAGTCCTTTTATGTCCTAACCAGTCCTTTTCCGTCTTTACTAGTCCTTTTATGTCCTTTTCCGTCTTTACTAGTCCTTTTTATGTCCTTACTAGTCCTTTTTATGTCCTTACTAGTCCTTTTTATGTCTTTACTAGTCCTTTTTATGTCCTTACTAGTCCTTTTTATGTCCTTACTTGTCCTTTTCTGTCTTTACTAGTCCTTTTATGTCCTTACTTGTCCTTTTCTGTCTTTACTAGTCCTTTTATGTCCTAACCAGTCCTTATCCGTCTTTACTAGTCCTTTTATGTCCTTTTCCGTCTTTACTAGTCCTTTTTATGTCCTTACTAGTCCTTTTTATGTCCTTACTAGTCCTTTTTATGTCTTTACTAGTCCTTTTTATGTCCTTACTAGTCCTTTTTATGTCCTTACTTGTCCTTTTCTGTCTTTACTAGTCCTTTTATGTCCTTACTTGTCCTTTTCTGTCTTTACTAGTCCTTTTATGTCCTAACCAGTCCTTATCCGTCTTTACTAGTCCTTTTATGTCCTTACTTGTCCTTTTCCGTCTTTACTAGTCCTTTTATGTCCTTACTTGTCCTTTTCTGTTCTTCCTAGTCCTTTTATGTCCTAACCAGTCCTTTTCCGTCTTTACTAGTCCTTTTTATGTCCTTACTAGTCCTTTTTATGTCCTTACTTGTCCTTTTCTGTCTTTACTAGTCCTTTTATGTCCTTACTTGTCCTTTTCTGTCTTTACTAGTCCTTTTATGTCCTAACCAGTCCTTATCCGTCTTTACTAGTCCTTTTATGTCCTTACTTGTCCTTTTCCGTCTTTACTAGTCCTTTTATGTCCTTACTTGTCCTTTTCTGTTCTTCCTAGTCCTTTTATGTCCTAACCAGTCCTTTTCCGTCTTTACTAGTCCTTTTTATGTCCTTACTAGTCCTTTTTATGTCCTTACTTGTCCTTTTCTGTCTTTACTAGTCCTTTTTATGTCCTTACTTACCCTTTTTCGTCTTTACTAGTCCTTTTTATGTCCTTACTTGTCCTTTTCCGTCTTTACTAGTCCTTTTTATGTCCTTACCTGTCCTTTTCTGTCTTTACTAGTTCTTTTCTGTCCTTACTAGTCCTTTTCTGTCTTTACTAGTTCTTTTATGTCCTTACTAGTCCTTTTCTGTCCTTACTAGTCCTTGTTATGTCCGTACTTGTCCTTTTCTGTCTTTACTAGTCCTTTAATGTCCTTACTTGTCCTTTTCTGTCTTTCCTAGTCGTTTTATGTCCCAACGAGTCCTTTTCCGTCCTTGCTTGGACTAAATTTAAAAGGTGATGACGACTTCCACTTTTGGACGTGGTCAAAGTGTTTTACAATGGCTGCCGTTTTCACTAGGCCAAATTACTTGGCAGAATATTCTTCCTAGGTTTTTCTTTACAAAACTAGATAAACGTGACATCTGTTTTCTAACTACGTTTTCTCTGTGAAATTTTACCCGGATGTTTCAGCCAGGATCAAGCGATTCAAATTGCAATAGCGCGCAACTTTCGAAAATGACGGAAGAGGAAGTGCTTTTTTGGTCCCAGGCTATTGCCCGAGAGCAAATTCTGCCTGGATCTGATCTGCGTATCTAGCAGTGTCATAAACACCCCATATGTTGTCATAAACACATATGTGTACCAAAAAAATGATTATTAAGATGTGTCAAGTATCGCGAGACTAATTATACAGGATTTCCTATCTAGAAACGTTCAGTTAAACAGTTTCCAGCGGTGCCTTAAAATGAGACCTTGGGATGCATTTGTGGACCTTTGGAGGTGCAGACGAATCCATTGCCTCAACCTGGTTTGGCTTGCATCATGCAAGACTTAAAGCTGTAGTTCTTCAACTTACAGTGGTTTTGAGTTTTGGGAGCTTCGTGCTTCAGACTTCATTTTCAAGTGCTTTGTTTTCGAAACTACCCCCCTTACTCCGTTTCTTTTCTGAGGGCAGCGGGTGGCTATAGACACAAGGACGGCGGAGCGCAATTTCAATAGGGGTGGGGGGGGGGGCTTGAAAACTCGGACCGGAGGGGTTGGGGCGGGAGGGTGCGCAGGGGGCGGGGGTTCTGGGGGCATCCTCCTCAGAAAAGTTTGAAACATAGAGGCTCGGAAATGGTATTTTCAACATTCACAATGAGATATTTCGCTAAGGGAAACTCAACCTGGATAAGGTGTAAAATGACAGGTACTTCTAGTGCTTCCAGCATGTACCTTATACTTAATCAAAAACATTTTTCTTCTAGAAAAGTGGAGGTGCTAAGGCCTTCCCAGCTCCCTACCCCCCAACCCCCCGGCTCCGCCGTCCCTGACAGCAGGCACATTGAAATGCAAAATAGATCAAAATCAAAATCAAAATCGTTCAATAGAGAAAGCCAAGAATCTGGGAAATGAAAGGAGATACATATACAAAGACCTTCGGCAAGATTCAGATCAGAGAAATATTTCGTATACGAGATATCTGAAGAAATGTTTTACCCAAACTTATAGAGATTTGTATGGAGAAGCCATGCTGGTGTTCACCTGCATGAGCTCCAACATGGCAGGCGGAAACCAACAGAAACATCTGTTACCAAGTTCTGCTACAAAAGCGTGAATTTATTCTTCGAGAAACTCATAAACATTAAAGTAATACTTTTTCTAATACATAAACTGTTTAGATAGCAAAATTTCTGAAATATGCCATTTTTTTGCCTACATGACAGCTCTCTTGGGCGTCATGTAAATGCCATGTCACGCAAAAGCTTAGAAATTCAAGCGTACTCTATCACAAAGCAAAGAACCCTTCTGAAGCAAAAATTTGTATGAAAATTAGTTTTCAGCTGCTCTAATGCATCGTGAAAGTAAAATCTTTAGTTTGAATTTTAGTGACGTCACGTGAAAACCAACAATACCGAGTCTAATCAGCCCACCCACGAAAGTCCACTGGTGGTTATTGCAGACAATGTAGAAGATCTTTTTCAGGAGTCTATTGCTGCGAGCATTTTAACTGTTATGTGTAACCTACAGCAATTGATTGATAATATTGGCAGCAAGAATTGTTACAGGTCTTTTAAAGCCCTTGATATTATACATTTGATTAACATGTCAGCCATTTTAACCGTGGAGGAAAACAGTGAAATAGATGACCCAACGATAATTTCCCATACCGAAACTCTTAACAGACACTTGGGAGGGTTCAACCTTGAAATAGATGCGATTCAGCCCGGATGGCGACTGCGCCTTTAGAAGTGTTGTGAGACAAGCCACTATAAGGGCATGTAATGCACCACAAACACCAGCACATCTGTGTTCTTTGGGGCTTCTAATCGACGATGACAGAGACACGTTCACTTTAAGGCAACTGTTTGTGGATGAACTTCTAAAAGATTCAGGCATTGCTACGTCCTTTTTAGAAGGCTCTGCAGAGGAGAAAACAAGAAGAGCAGAGGGGTTTCGCGTGCGTGAGAGTTTTCGATAGCGACATTGGTGATATAAGTCTGTTCTTCTATAATCAAGGTGCCAGTGATTGTGATAACGTCTAGCAGGTTTGTTCCCGTTGTTCCTTTCACGCCTGATGAACCTTTGACCAACCAACCCATTTATATAGCGTACCACTATTACGGTGCTGGCCACTATGATGCCACTAACAATAAAATTGCAGGTAAGAACACTAAAGTGAAGCCAGAGATAAACCTCGATTGCGAGCGCAAACAATTCTAAAGACTTACACAAGCCCACTGACTAAACCTGTTAAGTGCATGTGTCTCTCCAATTAAAACGTACTTCTAAATTAGCTTTAAAAGGTCTCTGTCACAATTGTCTCAGTACCCCATTATATTATGTAGGTAGTACCAATTACGCACCCATCCGCTATATGGAGCTGGATCCAGAGAAATTACTTGTTTGGCGAATAGATGTCTCCCAAGCAATACTGGTATAAACAGTTATAATCACAAAACCCTAATTTAACTATGAATGCATTTTATTGACAGTTTCACAACCTGGTGAAAGTCGTGGGTGCTACTGCGGAAGACAGGTCAAGTCGAGAGATCAGTTGTCTTGTAATGCGGCCACAACTAGTAAATCCCATTGTCCCTGCGTATTCAACAAGAGACTGTGTGAGCCGCGCAAATGCAAATGCCTCAACTGTGCGAACAAAACTCAGCAGGGTGAAAAAGTGGGAAAAAGTACTTCATGTCGCTGTGGTGAGTCGAAGAAAAGCAAGTTCCAAGGAACAGAGAACTCTTCGTGTGTAGATATCATTGGCAAGAGAAGGACAAAATGTCCTTGCTACGCTATCGGCAAGGCCTGTGATGATCATTGTTCCGCTTACAGTTGCGGCAACAGTTATGGAAAGAAAGAAGAAAGTAAAAAGGACTCTCCATCAAGGAAAAGGAAGATAGTTTCCAGTCCTCCTTCACTGAAAAGGACTCGAAAATCGGAAGTTCTTGGGGAAAAGGGATCCGAGATTAACTGGGGGAAATGGGCTATTGCTGAAACCTGTCTTCTTGAAACTTTGGAGTCTTTTCTCTGTACCACGAATGTCCTACCAACCTATCAAAATATAACAAAGTTGTACAATTTTGTGGCGAAAAGCAATTGTGCATCTCATCTCAAGCTTAATGTAAAAAAAAGTATTGGGAAAACTTAATTTTAAGCATTCAACACACGGTGCCTTAGAAAATATATTTTACGGCTTATCATAAGCCAAACGTTTTAATTAGATCAGTCTTGAATTAGTCAGGTTTGTAGAGAAGTGTAACAGCAAATTGTTGGTACCAATTTCGGCCTTTTTACTAAGTAGGTAAGCACAGTTAATTTTAAAGAAGATCCCAAACTTAAATAACATTGATATTTCTTAACCTGGCTCTAACTGTAAATTAATTTTTTTTATTTAAACTGATGAACGGGTTTCGGAGTTTGTTGCAGTTAGGTTGCACAACACTTTAAAACTCTTTCCTTGAACTCGAACTCTAAGGTTAGATAAATACATCCAACTATTTCAAAAGTCACTAAATTTCTATCGTCTGCAAAGCCAATAATTCATGAGCAGATATATAAGCATCACTAAAGAGAAATTATCCCTTTCACCCGAATTTCTAAAACAAAACACTAGACCTGACTCGTCCCCAGTCGTCCCTCTTGAGAAAGGAGAGAAACGCGAGGGGTGATGGGAAGGAGGAAAGGGGAAGGGAGAAACGACTGGCAGATCCTGAGTCGAAAAGTTGTGCGAAGAGTCGAAAAGTTGTGCGAGGTCGTTTTTTGTGATTTTTTTCACCGTAGTTGTATTTATTATGGCCAATTGGCCTACTTAATGCACTTTTTTTCATCGGTCGGTGTTACCAGAAGTGTTTTTGCGTGTTCTTGGTTTTGATCCAAGATGGCGTCCGGCGAAGATCCCACGTGTTTGACTTGTGAAGTTTCCGGGGAAGATGTAAGCTTACAAGAATTGGACAAGTCCATCGACGAGCTTAGTATGGTAGGTATATTAAATTTTATGATTGTGAATTTATTTAGTGCTATTCTTCTACTTCATGAAGATTTTAACATAATTTCACGATTTAAAGCTAAGGTATGTAAACATAAAGCTTATGATGTGTATTTTCTATAGATGAACCAGACAGTAATCTACCATCAACAAGCACTCCAGTGAAAGCTCGAAGAAGGCTTGCGTGCCAGTTCGATCGGTCAGCTACAGGCAATGGCGACAGTAATGATGATGACAATAGAAGGGGAAAAAAACACGATTTGACCCCTGGTTCGAAGCAAAACCCAAGTCAGCCAAAGACAAAACGCTTTCTTGTTGGTAAAACAATTTCATAATCACAGTTTCCTCGATTGTTAGTTCTTCCTTGATCACTTCATTCGCACTACTCGATTGGTTGCTGTTTTCTTTAGCTTACTATGCTGTAGTTTAAGCTTAACTTTTGTGAATTGGGAATTGTTACATGTATAAAGCTACTTTTGTTGTTCATGAATAAAACCTGTGAGGGCTGTAGAATGCTATCTGATGTCCTTCACATTGGAATTGACCATTTAATGCATATTGGAACAACACATTATAACAAACTGATCTATTGTATATATGGAAATGTAAATTATATATTGTTATTATTATACATGTAGTATAAATGGCCAGGTATTCTAAACTTGCTCCAAATACTGTTAAACATTTAGGTGGTAAGCCATCTGGCAAGGAAGTTGTGAGGAGAAGGTCCAAACTGGAGGCTGCTTTAACTGCTGGATTTGTGCAGAAAGAAGGATTTGAAGTCTCCCGAGAATCTGTGTTGGCCTATCCTGATCTTAATGAAGACTCGGCTTCATTACTTACATGAGCATTGAAACGTGTATTTCCAGGGGTGTCAACCAGGCGGGGGAAAGAAGATGGCATGTATCCTTTACCTCAAATTGTGATTATTGCTAACTTCATGATAAGAAGTCATAATTATACAGTTTCTAACAGTGCACATAAATGTTGTGCCCTGTGTAAAACACCCACTGCATTGTTACTGACAAAAATTTTGCCTGTCATATGTGGAAATTGTTGTCAGCTACATGACAGGGACCGCGGAGCAAGGTGAAAAGTGGGAGGGCTGACAATTGAAAATAATTTTTTCATATTGAAAATCGAAAAAAGGAATAAAATCATAGTATTTGATTTGTTTCTGTCGCGTGACTTTGCATACTTTATCCAGTATTTGTCAACAACTCGCACTTCCAAAAAAATGAAACTTTTAACAATATATTGAAATGTTTACTGGTCAAACTCAAACACACCATTTTCACTGCAAGTAGTTGTCGTCTTTTCTGCAGAGCTTACAGACTTTGAGGAAGTCTCAGATAACTAGCTCTAATAAACGACCAACATACACGGTCAGTTCAGATTCAATGCAAGAAAAGACGCGATTACAATTTTAGTATAGAAAATACTACACTGAAGTGATCTGAAAAAATTCTAACTATGGCCGTTCACTGTTCAAGTAATGTAATTCTTCTTGCCATCGATTATTCATTAATTCGAAAGGAGAAAGACAAAATATAAAACTTTTATCAACTCAAAACAACTACTCACCTTCGTTTGGCTTGAAAAAGCTAGTAATTTTCTTCATTTCGTCTGATAAAACTGATAAAAAACTCTGCCGGAGCTGCAAGTACAACACGCTGCCGAACGAAGCGAAGGGGTGGCCAAGGCAAGGCGTTTGATCAAGGGGCAAGTCGGCCCCAGGGCACAATTACCGCGAAAAGCACAGGAGCCCCACAAAATGCCTGGCGTTTGAAATTAAAGAAAATACAGAGAATATAGCGGAATATAGACGGAAAAAAACTTGTTTCAAGTCTTTTTTTATTTTAATTATTTTTCTTTTTAGCGCAAAAAGTGGGAACGGGGGCGCAAAAAAGTGGTGGGGCAGCGGCCCTACCAGCCCCTCCCCCTCTGCGGTCCCTGCATGAGCATGTGATGAGAGGAAATCACCAGCATAGTTGTGCCTAGAAGAGAACTGGAGAGTATTGATTTGGTTATTGCAATTGATTTCTGAATCTTCCTTGACAATATCTATAGCACCTTTTATGTCAATCTGAAAGCCAAGACTCATTTCTCTGGCACTAACCCTTATAAAACATTGCCAGGTATGTGAAATGTTACATACATGTATACTGTATATAAACATGTTTATGCCAGTACCAATTGAAGGTTAGTGTCTGAGACTAATGAGCTGAGACCAAGACTGAGAGATAAAAAACTAAACAGTATTGACTGAGAAGCAATCTTTATCCATCATATTTTTTACTATGCCTACAGGGAATGATTATGACTTGGTTGTTTAATATGTATTGAAATGTGGTATTTGTGATATTCTTGCTCTATTTCATTTTGTGTTTATCCAATGAAGCTTTGCTGAAATCAATAATTTATTATTGCTCCTTTTGGATTTTAGTTACAGCTTGTTCTCAGAGGACAGCCATAATAATTTGTATAAAAATTTGTAGGGAAATCAAGAATTGTTTGGGGTATTTTTCTTGTAGCTGAAATGGTCAATATCCAGCAGAGACTTGTAGCAAATGAGGAAGTTATGAAACAAATTTGGCAGCAGTTGTCTATTGCCACCAAGGGTCTGATTGAAGTGCAAGCACTCTTGGCTGAATTTACAAGAGAGGCACAAGAAAGAGACCGTCTTATGAAAACATTGCTCACTTCCTTTGAAAATGAACTTGCCAGTGCAAGGGCTGATGTTGAACATGTAAAGTTGACAAGACAACAGACTGAAACTGTTGTTAGAGAAATTAAAATTCTCGAGGAGATTTGTAACCTTGGGGTGAGAAGCTGCCAAGATGTTGATTTGGGTGAAGTCATCACTCCATCGCTGTTTAATGAATTTGTTGATGCTGTAAAGGAAAGATGTCCCTTGCTAAGAAACATTGTTGAGACTTTGGTTGTCACCAGTGCTACGGAAAGAAATGTCCACAAGACAAATGGACAGAAAGTGCTTTGTGGGCATCACGCCTTGGTCCTCCTATTAAATGTGAGAAATTCTAAATGTATGAACGACTTCCCCCTGTTGTTTGGCCTTCTCTGTGTGTCCTATGGAGCAGGAAAGCAGTGTATTAACATGCTGCAGTCGATTGGGATTTATCTTCATTATGATTCACTGTAAGTTAAAAACTTAACTGGAATTTCAGTTCTGAAACATACCTTATTTCCTTTCATGTTTGGTCACATGGCCAAAGTGTTACATTAATTTATCAATTTGAGTGGTATATACTAGATAACAAGTGAATTTTAGGGCCATTAGGAGAAGTGACATTTCCAATTTTAAATTTACATGTGGGCCAACGGCTGAACCTTTTTCTAAGTCATCCCTGTTTTAATCACCACTGGTTAATAATAAAGCGATGTTGACTGAAATAGTGTGTTTGTCCTGACTTGTCACAAAATATTGGCTGAGAAACCATACCCTTCGAACAACATCCCCCTCGTTCTCCCCACAGGGTAACAATGTTCATGTATTTGCTGCAATGACATAACTTAGTTACTGCATTTACATGTGTAACATGCCTAATGGAAAGGAATATTTTTTTCCTACAGAAAGAACTTCTTGAAAAGGAGGCTGGAAAATTACAGAAAAATTGTGGAGAAACATGCCCCCAGTGATGTTCCCGTCATATCGCTGATGGACAATATCAACATGTACAGAGGCAAAAAAACGGCATCACAGACTCCTCAAAAGTGCCAGTCCCAAAATGTGGAACTTCACTGTCCGTGGTGCCATTATTCCTAACTGTGATGACATTAAGGAGTTGCTATCCACTAAAGAAACTTCGTAACACCCACAGTTACAGCTGTCATCGCTAAAGGCTGATGATCTCTTCATCGGTATGTTGAAATACAGTTTCTTGGCTTTTCTGTAAGCATTACTTACATTTAATTTACAATGTATATTGTTAAAAGTATCTAATACAGTGTAATCAATTCAGTCCAAATCCATAAGCTGGCATTTTGCCCGTTCCTATTTGTGACAAGGAAGTGTGTTCGCATGAAATGTGAACACACTCTTAACTTAGTTTTTATTTACATTAACTTTATTGTATAATACATGTGCAATGAAAAAAATTGCTATTTGAAACTAACTTTTAAAATAAATCAATGTCCATTTGATTTGTGTTTAGAGTCCAACCCTGAGCAGCTGAAAGTGTTTGAGGAAGTGAAATGTTGGTATCTGGCAAAGCTGCTTGATGTCGGTTTAAATGCTGTTCCTGTGTCGGAACATTAATTTGATGCCATGAGTGAACAAGACTTTCAAGCCTGGTTAAAAAAACAGAACCTCAGTGAAAGCCATTCACAGAAGTACAAGCTAGATGTACGAAAAACTGCGCCAAGGAAGAAAAATGAAGGACCAACAAAAACAATTATCCTGCCACTTTCCATTGAAAACAATGCTACCATACAGGAACAGCTGCAGTCCTTGAACATTTTGGTCAAGAATTTGAAATTCCATGTACACATTCAAAAGTGGTTTTACCCTACAATGAAATTCTGAAGACTTTTGACATTGAAGCTGCAAGAAAGCATCATGAATTCCTTTATTTGCTTCAGGAACATAAAAATGAAATGATTGAGCTTGAGGAACAATTGAAAAGTATTGAGAAACATCAGTAGTATTCCTGGCCTGTTTAGCCTTCAAAGGATGCCGCCGCCGCTATTGTTTCAGGCTATTGTTAGGGTTAGGGTTAGGGCTATTGTTCTATTGTTCTTAGGGTTAGGGTTAGGGTTAAAATGCTAATAAAGTTAGGGTTAAACCCTAGCCCCTTGGGATTAGGGTTAGGGTTAAAATGCTAATGAAGTTAGGGTTAAACCCTAGCCCCTTGGGATTAGGGTTAGGGTTAAAATGCTAATAAAGTTAGGGTTAAACCCTAGCCCCTTGGGATTAGGGTTAGGGTTAGGTAATCAAAAATTCAAGATGGCGGACTAAGAAAAAAGTCTTTCCAAACCTTGCTATCGCCACAAGATTTAGAAAGAACGGGCTGACCGGGAATCGAACCTGGGCCACCTGCGTGACAAGCAGGGATACTAAACCACTATACTATCAGCCCTTTCGGAGTAGATCAACCACACAACAAAGTAGTCAGTTTAACAATGTTTATTATTTTCTTGTTATTAACGTCAACATTAAGCTAGTGATTGAACCCTCGATTTTTAAGAAACGAAGTGAGGTCTTTGTGAACGATGAAACAAAGCAGGAGTACTTTGTGGGTAGAGGCAAAGCGCACCTCTGTAAAGCTCGACAAACCTATCTACACAGGATACGAAGCAGGAGGCAGGCTTTAATCCCCTTAGACAGTGCATCACAATTGCATCGACCTGCCATAACTTTTGGAGGAATCACCAGATGATTCCCTACTCTATTGCCGTTGAACCACCACATGGATGGAGTGGAATAAAGTCAGCACAGAGCAAGATTGGTTTTCAATGGTTATACCTTGAAGATCTGAAACGAGGTAGTAAAAGAGAGACATTTTTATAAAATAGATAATAATTTAAATGGGTTACAAAGTTCCTTCACATTCTTGCATTCTTGTTTCGGTAGATTTAAACTTCGTTTAAAAGTCTCTTGCAATTCTAAAAGAGCCTCAGGGTAATCGTAGATGTTTCTGACTCCTACAATGGCGGTTTTCTTCACTAGTGTGGGTAAAGCGTACTGTTCATCTGACATTTCATCACATGCGTAAAACAAATCTTGGTGAGGGTTATACCAAAACCAAATGTTTCGCTCCACATCATACACATACAGGACTTTGTTGAGGACTTTACTCATTTCTACTGCCCAGCCTGTTCCGCCCAAGCAAACTTTTCTTTCTGGTTGAAAATAAGTAAATGCCAGCACCATCTCAGCTTGTTTCACCACATGATAATTTCGGTGGATATACTGTAAACTGATCGGGTTGGTTAACTGTTTGTTGAGACGATTAGCCACTTGCGTTGTGAGAGGAATCGCTTCAGCTAATTGTTGATGAGTTAAGGGTAGTATGGAGGCTTTTCTCGGATGGCAAGGAGGTATGAGGACATGTACTGGTAAACCATAGTGTCTTGCTAACTTTTCTGCTTCTAAATCCACACCATTTGCGCCGCCAGAGATTACAGTGAAAGCCATTGTATTATGGGGTGATGAGTAGAACAACGTGAGTTTTATAGAAGACCATTGACGTCACTGCCCGGACATGTTCAATTCCCATAGGACTTGATCTTTTCTGGTGCATGCATCTCGTAGTAAGAAATAGCTTTTTGAAAAATTTGGTCCATCACATCTTTGTTCAAGTCAAATAAATAACGGTTCATTGTTTCCATAGTAAGATTGTGATAGCTGATGCCCTGTATAATAACTTCATGTATAAACTTTTTGTATCCTTGTAGTAGCGAAGGGTCCATTTGCTGTAAAATTTCCTCGAATCTGTTGGACTGCTCAGTATTGATCTTGTGAGGTAGTTGGTCCATCAGGAAGGAAGCACTGTTGCTTGTTAGCCAATAACTTAAAAAATGCCGTAGTTTCTCTGTTCACTTGATGAAATACCTCTCGGTTCAAAGCAAACAAGTCGTAATTCAATTGATCAAAGGTCATGCTTGTGTTGGCCAATGTCTCAATCATCAAGGCTCGTATAAATTCTTGGTAGGAGGCAAATTGACGAGGCTGTACTTTTCTTAACAGCTGTTCCAATTTAGTAGACGGTGTCGTAGCCCCCATGTCTTTCGGTTAGATCTTGTACCAGCTGTTCTTGTTTTTGAACCAAAGTTTTCAGTCTAGCCGCTTCTTCTTGGAGTCTCTCAAACTTTTCCTTGAGCTGTTTAATCTGTTGCAACAACTGAGCGCAATAAGCTAGTGATTTACTAGCGATGTTGATCCACTCGAGCTCACACATAATGAATGAACTGTGTTGCCCATGCATGCTTATATGAGCTGGTCACGGTCGAATGATTCATCCAACTTAATGTATTTGCGTTGAGACTCTGTCAGCTTTTTCTTGAAAAACAGGGTGACAATGACTGGACTATCCTGATTGAAGTCGGGAATAGTGTTATTCCATTCTGTCACAGTCACTTCTAAAATGTCCACCAAATAACTCCGCATGGAATAAAATTGAATGGGGTTACATTCAATCAGCGTTTTTTCGTTATTATAAGCGACAGACTTCATGATGGTTTTGTTTCCATCAATGCTTTTAGTTAAATTGCAAGACAAAAACAGAGGACGTAAATTGTCTGTTCCATGAGATTTAGGAAGTGTGGATGCTTTCTTGTCCCCCATACTGGTAGTCGTTGTTTCGGTTGTTGTGTGAGAAGAGGGAATGACCGGGTGATCATCATACACATCTGGTACCTGTTCTACATGTCCCTCTACTCCATACAACACTAAAAAAGTGTTGTCTTTCAAATCATCTGAGTATTTCGCTGACAGTGGAAACCCTATGTCAAACTCGATGTTTAGTTTAGCATGTCTACTTGAAGTTTTAGTGAATTGAATAGTAAGAGTGTGATAATAAATCAAATGGGTTTTGTTTTGCTCATGAGTATGTTTTTCAACCCGCAAATGATGAACTTGTAAACCTGAACCATCAGCACCAAAGTTAGAACGGTTAAACAACCACGCATCCTTTTGGTACCACTCTAATGCGACCGTATAAGTTTTGTTGCGAGTTAAGGAGGTCATATCAATCTGCAGTTTTCCAGTGTATTTTCCGTGAGATACACCATCCGCAATTTGTACCCCTCTTAACAAAGTCACACTCAGAGTCGTGGGTTTCCAATAATGGGGAGATACAGGCAGATCTACAAACTTATCGTCCAAGTCGAGTCCAAGATCCATATTCCATAATGAAAGGTTAGTCATCCAGGGTTTGAACACATTCAAAACTGTTTTTGGGGTTTCATAGGCCTGATGAATCGCTTTGTCAAAGGCTTCATTTAAATTCACAAAGCGCCAACTAAATGTGGAGCAAAGATACAGCAACCCGTCTACTACATGAATGGGTTGAGTAAAAGTAAATTTTGCATTGAGACAGGTTGCAGGATCTGGTTTTACGCCAGTAGTACCATCTGGAAGTTCCATGAGTAAATTTGGTCCCACCGCAAACACATTGTTAGCTGTTTCTACCACCCATCCCATTTGTTTAGCCAAGATCAAATTAATGGCTAAATAAGGCACACTTTTTCTGTTGGTACTTTTAATATTGTAATGTCGAAGCAGCCAAGTCGTGTAATTATCTTGAGCAGAAACATCTATTCTCCAATTATCGGTACTGTCGGCAAATTCATACCCCGTGGGTAATTTTTTGTTTAAATCCTGTTCCATCCATCGCATGCATTTGGACATAAAATCAAACCCGTTGGAGGCATCTTGCAAATCTGCTGTTTTAAGTTTGGACAAAAATTCTTGAGATTGACTTGATTTGAAAGCTTTGGCATATTGTTGAAATAAAATATCGGTATTACTCCCTTTGTACAGGTTGTGATTCGACCGAATACTGAAAGGTTTGGTAGGAAGTATGTCATGTTGTTTGGGCGGAGAGGAACTGACATGGGATGTGACAACATGGGGAATGGGATTGGAAACGCCAGGTAAAAACACACTTGCCAATCCCACTTTCCATTTGCCCGGTAACCATAAGCTTTGAGGCAAACGGTATTGAAATTGTGTGGGTGAATTGTGTGGAAATTCCTGTGTTTTTTGACTAGTCAGCGTCACATAAAACGAGGTGTCATTTGGCTGAGTCATGTTGTTTAATAATAAAAATGAGCTAATTACTCTCTTTTATAGTTTGCCCTAACATGTTCATGTCCCAAGGGGGTGATTCGTGTGAGTTCGTGACAGAAGTGACGTCATTGCCCAGACATGTCCAATTCCCTTAGGGATGTCAAGTAAGTATAAATCTGTGTATTTGATGTGCTTTTTCACTATGTGTTATCTGCAAGAACCGCCGTTTAACATGGAAGCTCCCAAGAAGAAAGCCAGAAAAGCCAAAAATAAGACAGGAGTAGAAGTAGTTCAATCCGTTCTAAAAACGCCAGAACCTCCAATGATTGAGAATGCTGAACCTCTTACAAAAGAATGGACAGCATCCCATTACACTACAGGTGATAAATTTAGGCTGCAGAAATACCTGGACCCAGAACAACTTCCTTCCTATGAGGAAATGCAGCAGGACTGCCAAGATCTATTCAATGGACCGAGTTCTATGGAAACACAACCTGACCTAGATCCCGTGCATATCATGGAAGAAGGAGTCGCTGTGTTACCAGATGGTCGACAAGTGGAATGGTGGCCTATAGAAGGGGAATTCGATGTACCTAATTTAGAAGAACTGGCTTTGCAAGAGTATCTGATGGATGCAAGCAAACCTTTGCATACCAACTTTGTCCTGCCTGAAAAAGGACTTGCCAATGGTTATACATGCCCCGTGTATTTTGGCAATGTAGACAGCAAGCAGACAGTGTTGGATATCATTTGTAACAGCATTCATCCCAAAATCCATCAACAATGGGGAACCTTTGCCTGTCACTGTGGATTAGTGCCTAGACTCAAGCTCAGTCAAACACCAAGAAATCCAAACAAAGTGTTCCTAAGCTGCCCTAAGGAGAGAGAAGCCAGGTGTAATTACTTTCAGTGGATTCACCAAGCACCTAAACCTGTGAAGGTCCCTAAAGCTTCTACACCCTCAGCTCTCAAGAAACGAATGCATGAGATGGTACAAGAAAGATTACAGAAACGACCTAAAGTAGAGGCAGGAGGATTTCAATTTCCCTAAAAACACTTTGTTCTTGGTTGTTGTAAAAAAGTTTGTTGTTGTTTAAAATTAAACATTGTGATCTTATTAAAAACGTGTGTTTATTTGTCTAACACCCTTGGGGATTCTTGCCCGATCTTGCCCAATACCCTAAGGACCTTAGGAGGATTATAAAATTGGGGCAATCTCTGGTCAAATCACAAACTCTGCAGCCATGACTTGTGAAATGAGTAGAGAAGAAGACCTTGAAATGATGAGCGTCGATTTTGGAGCTACTGAGAGTGATCCTTTCAACACACATTTTTTGCTGTCATGTTTTGAAGAAAAGAAACTCTGCCCAAGATTTTATGGAAAGAATGTAGACAAACTGAAAGTGTATGATGCCTTAAAGAAAGACATGCATGCAGAAGTAAAAACCGAATGGGGAGATTTGAAATGTCATTGCTCACGAATTCCTATTCTACGCCTTAGTAAGACAGCCAGAAACCTGAACAAAGTATTCTTAACCTGTGGAACACCCGCTTCAGCTGAGACTCGCTGCAAATATTTTCAGTGGATTCACACACCACTGTTTATCGATAAGAGACCCATCCATAAACTCAAGTATGCGACAAACCTGAGCAGAGCAGAATGGAAGCAACAAGCGGAAGCGAATGTTGAAACGTGGAAACAGCGCAATGGTTGGTACAGCAAACAAGATGCCGAAACTCAAACAGAGCAGAATCAGCAACATGCATGGTTTGCTGAATCAGCCAAAACGTTTGCTGAATCAGCCAAAAAGCAAGAAGAACAAAGAAAAGCGCAAACAAAGAATCCTTGGAACAGCACCCCTCTGCCAAGCACCTTTCAGTCGAGTCCAGAGATAGCCAAGGAGCTCAAGAAACGAGAGCAATGGAAGGAGGCTGTTAGTATTGCCAACCATAGGTTTAATTCTCGTGTGAAAGGATGGCATCATCTTCCTTTAGCTGATGCAAATGTAGCTGAGTATCTAGAAAAACAAAAAAGCAAAGGTCATTCTCTTTCATCTGCGGATGAAAAGTTCTTAAATGCATGCATAGCAAGCAAACATGATGAGTGGAAACCTCCTCCCGGGGCTGAAAAGTATGAAAAGAACGAAGCAGCCATCGCCAAAGCAGTGTATGAAGACTGGCCTTTTGGTTATTTGCCTGAAAAAGTGTGCAGTTTGGCTTCCTATTGTCGCAACAGAAAGCAGAAGGGATTGCCTTTAACGCCAGTTGAGGAACGTTTTTTTGCTCAATTAGTGAATGTATGTGTTCCAGAAGAAACAGACAAGCAAAAACAAGAAAAAGAAAAGAGATTTGTTCAAGAATGTGATGCAAACAATGCTCGAAGAAAGGAAGCGGGTTTGTTACCCTATTCGTACGAAACATTTAGAACATATGGAACTGGTATCTTTTGAGGTACTCTTCTGAAACAGGCAATTACTAGTTTTGTCAATGTTTAAATAAAAGTGTTGAAAAGGAATTGTTTGTGGTTGTTTTCTTGTTAGGGTTAGGGTTAGGGTTAAAATGCTAATAAGGTTAGGGTTAAACCCTAGCCCCTTGCGATTAGGGTTAGGGTTAAAATGTTAATTAGGTTAGGGTTAAACCCTAGCCCTTGAGAATTAAACATGTTCAAACAGGGGGAATGAAATGTGTTCTAAAAATAGAATATAAAGACGTATAAAAATCGATCATTTGTTTTGAAAAGTATTCATTCAGTCATGGGAAACCTTCAGTATAGAAGTACGGTGTGGATTTGTCGTCGTTTGTTAAACGACCTATGCTCTGAAGACACTTGTCCTCCTATCCCAATGTTTCAATGGATGATAAATCATAACCATACAACCTGGGGACATTATGCAGTGTACATCACTTGGCTGCATCGACACCATCCATCTGAAGGAATCAAGGTGTTTGACTATTTAAAGAAACATCATGCCAACAACATGTATTCATTTTGGTATTTAGCAAGTCGCCCTTTAGTGTACTATGTCAACGAAATTATCCGCTTCGTATGTCGATCCTACCAAGCCTGGATCACTGGGAGGTGTTGCCAAATTTGCCAAAGCACACAAGATTCCCGTGTCCAAAGCCAAGAAGGAACTGCAACAAGTACTGAGTTACACTCTGCATAAACCAAGACGTCGGCGCTTTAAAACATTACCCACTTTGGTGTTTAACATCAACAAACAATTTGTGATGGACTTGGTAGACATGCAAAAACTAGCCAAATACAACAAAGGGTACAGATATTTACTGACGGTGATTGATGTGCTCTCAAAATTTGCCTGGGTAGAGCCGTTAAAGAGTAAAAGCGCAACAGCGATGGTAGAAGCCTTACAAAGACTATGGGCAAGATTAGGAGATCATTTACCTCAAAAAGTACAAACGGATTCTGGCGGTGAATTTTATAATGTTAAAGTGCAATCCTTTTTTAAAAAACAGGGTGTGAATCATTTTTCTACGCATGGAGATCCTCATGGTTCCGTAGTGGAACGTTGGAATCGAACTTTGAAAACGAACATGTTTCGCTATTTTACTGCGCATAATACGCTCAAGTATATTGATGTGTTGCCTGCTTTAGTGAAAGCATATAATCATTCCTATCATCGTAGTATTCAAGAAAAACCTGTCAATGTCAACGAGTCCAACGAAACCGAAATTTGGTATCGTTTATACGATACGAAAAAAGACAACAAAGTGAAAAAACCGCAATGTCAAGTAGGTGATAAAGTAAGACTCAATAAAAAATTTCGTCCTTTTAAAAAAGGGTATTTGCCTGGGTGGACCGAAGAAGTGTTTTTAGTGAAACAAATCTATACCACAAAACCAGTGGTAACGTATAAACTCACGGAATGGGACGGGTCTCCTATAAAAGGAACGTTTTATGAACCAGATCTGCAAAAGGTCAATGTCGCAGACGATTCATTATTTCGTATTGATCAAGTTTTAAAACGCAAAGGAAAACAAGTCTTTGTGTCTTGGAAGGGTTGGCCGAAAAAATATAACTCTTGGGTTTGGAAAAAAGATTTGCAAGTGTTATGAAGAGTTTTCGATTAACCTTGATCAGCGATCCCACGGACGAACATCCCCAAAACCAAAATAATAATTTTAAAGTGCGTTTACCGGTGCGACTCAATTTAGAAGGCAATACCTGGCAAGCCAGTTTGTGGAGTGTCTCGGTCCCTGATGTAGGACATAGTTCTGCGGTCATTCACAGTAATAGTGACACCAAGATACTCAACTATCGCTACACCTTGACCAAGCGTCATGCTGTGGCCAGTGATTGGTTTATTAACTTTGAGCCCAAAGACAAAACTGTGACTTTGAAAGATGTCATGGGTAGTTCGTATCCTGTCTATTCAGGTCATCAATTATGGCAGAATATTATGACCCATATGGAACAAACCATCATGGAAGATGTAAAGTCAACCTTCGACACTTGGAAAACAACCAAAGGTAATACAGGCACTGTTTCCCTGAAATCTACTTGGAAACCCACCTTTGAATGGAACGAAAACACCCTCGTGTTGAAAAAAGTATCCCGTGAAGATGCGTTTGCTCGTGACAGACAGCTAAAAATTCACCCCCTTTCCTCTGTAGGGATACATGTGGATTTTGCGGAAAAGTTTGGTTTATTGTTCAAAGACAAAAACAACCAATACCAATTAGGACCCAATTTAGACTTTGTCTTACCCACAACCACTTATACGACATCCACTCCACCCGTCAAAAGCAATGATAAGTATCAATGGCTAGGAGAGCATTTTGTGAGCATTAGTCCATCAGATTTATTAGGGGGAAACTCGTTATTCAAAGTCAAACAAGAGAACGGTCAATCGTATCTATATCTCACGCGTACTGTGGATTGGCATTTTCAAAATCTGAATGTCCTGTTTAATACGCATGTGGGAACCGTAAAACAAACGGTCATGATTTATTGCGATGCTGTAGAATCCACCATTGTAGGATCACAACGACATTCGCTGTTAAGAAAAGTGGAATTAGAAAGAAAAGGAGAAGGGAGAGCGACCATAGAACCTTACCATCGTGAATGGATTCGAGTTCGAAATCAACACATGGAAAGCATTGAAGTGTCGTTGGCTACACCAGATGGGTCCTTGTTGGTCTTATCCCCAGGCAAAACCATCATTACCCTTGGTTTTCAACAAGTATAAAAGAGACCCTGTATTATGGAAACATCACAACTACAGCAAACAACATGTTAGGAGGATCACTGACGCGTTATCATACCCCCACTATGTACGGGAGTGGTTTTATGCAAGAATTGGTAAAATTAGCGGGGCCGAGTGTAGTTCGCTCGATTGGACACGGATTACATGCTTATGAAAAAGGAGCGTCAGCCTCCGAAGCCTTAAAAGGTTCAGGAGACGTTTTAAAAAGAGGACTCAAACGTAAAATACCCGCGGCTATTGGTCTTGCGGTTAAAACCAAAGCCAAACAAACCTATAAAAAGAAACGACAACGTGTTAAAGACATTTTAGGTGTGTAAAACATGCGGCGAGGACAAAATTCACAATCTCACATAAGACATCAACGATCAGTGGGTCGTTACCATTCTCCCTATCAACGCGGAGGCACTATTTTTAGACAACCTACCAACCCATGGGGATCCACTACCTATAAACCATTAGATCCAACGATTCTTCGTTCTTTAAGAAAACAAAAAGGAGGGAAAGTGCATCCAGTCATCTACCCTTGGAAAAACAAAGGACGGAAACGTATAAATAGACGAAGCAGACGACGTTAAGCTATCAGTCCGTCAACATGTCGCTGAATCTGTTTGACATTCCCAACATTGACTATAGGTATGAAGCCAAACGGTGGATTCCTTTCAAACCAGCTAATACTGGAACACGTCCTATTCTTTTTACTGTACCGGCAGGGGATGATTATTATGATTTGAATGAAACCAAGCTAGAAATCAAAGTGCGTATGAACACCACAGGGACAGGAGGACTTTCCAATGATGAAACAGGGGCTTCGGATGGTAATGATACCAAATATGTCTATTGCGTCAACAATTTTGGTCATTCTCTCTTTAATCAAATGAATGTGTCTTTCAATGGAGTGTTGATGACAGAACAAAGCAATGCCTATCACCAGAAAGCTTACCTAGAAACCCTACAGAATTTTAATCGCCAAGAAGGAGAAACGACCTTGGCAGCTCAAGGATGGGTGAATGAACTCAATGTCCTTGAAGAATTAACCCCTACCAATGCAGGCACTAATGATAAACCCAACCCCAACGACTGGAGTGGAAAAACAGGCTTGAAAGCACTCACCAGTCGCTTACTCGGCAAAGCGTATCATACCTTTATCATCAAACCCCACATCGCGGTGTTCAAAACAGGCAAATGTTTGGTTCCTAACGTGCAGATTGATTTGGAATTGTATTTGAATGACAGCAACATGTTTCTGTTTGGTACCCCAGACACGACTACGACTGTCAACAAAAAGATTCCAACACTGGGAGACAATGATTTGTTTGTCACTCTGTGGATGAAAAAAGTCACTCTCAATGCCTCTGTGTATTCCAGGCTACAAAAAGAAAGAAGTTTGAGTAAAACCAAAAAAGTCCGCTACCCTGTAGTTCGAAGTGAAATCCGAACGTATTCGTTCGATGGAAACAGCACTCGTTGGTCTCAGGACAATGTCTTCTTGAACAAGGTTCCTGTCAAAGTCATTATCGGACTCATGAATTCCACGAATTACAATGGAAGTCTGAAGTATTACCCTTATGCCTATGAAAAGTTTGGTGTCACCAGAGTTCGACAACGGATTGACGGCGAAGAATACCCGTATAGAGCCTTGGAACTAACAGGCAATTCCAAAGCAGAAGATTTAGTAGGCTATGATCGCTTCCTCACAGCGTCAGGCGCTTACAAGCACCACAGGGTACCCATGCTGCTCCCAAGCGACTGGGGACAAGGCAACAATTGTACCTTGTTCATGTTTAACAATGCTCCTGGGGATGCGGATGATCCTAGCTATAGAAATCCTAAACTCACGGGGAATGTCAGTTATGAAATTGACTTCAGAGCCAATGTAGGTCACAACGTGACCGTGGTAATTTGGAGTGAGTACGAAAATGTCTATGAAATAGACCAGTGGGGAGGCATTCTTTATTCCATCAACAGCTAGGATGGAGTTCGTACCTCTCAGTGATACAGTCCTCAAATACTTAGCAGAAGACGATCGCGAATTACGACCCTATTTTCGTGGCGTGTTTCCAGCAGATCAATTACCTCCCGTGTCTAAGAAACGAGTGAATGCTTACATTGTTAACACAGATCCAGCTAGTCAACCGGGTGAACATTGGTTAGCCCTTTGGACCGAAGGAACTACATGTGAAGTCTTTGACAGTTATGGGTTACCTCTTTCTACCTACAAAAATCCTACCTTACAAGCTTGGTTGAGCCAGTGGAAAGAAATCATTAGCAGTGATCAGACTTTACAAGCCATGGATAGTTTTACGTGTGGGCATTATGCCCTTTTCTTTTTGAAAGCAAAAGCCAGACATGCCTCTTTTCAAGATTTTTTAGCTCAGTGGCATTCCAATAATTTAGTGTTAAATGATAGGCGAGTCGCAGACCAACTGCAGCGTCTCATTAAAACAGAGCTGACAGAGTATGAGCAATGTAATGTAAACCGTTGTTCTTTTTTCATTCATTAATAAAATTGTGTGTGTGTTACTTCTGACTGTGTCACTTTTATCATGATATTACGGGGGGATGTTCAAAAAGTGCTCGATGCCCTGTTAGAAAAAGAATGGTCTTATTGGAAAGATCACAAACAAGAATGGATCAAACTCTGTCTGGATCCAGCAGATCTGTGGGATGGGTATCATTGGCAATTTGTACGATGTTTAGTGCAAGCTCAGTTGTGGTGGGACTTAAAAAATCATATAAAAGGAATAGGTGAAACGCATTTGAAAGATCAGATACTAATCCTCATTCAGTTGACCTCACCGCGGTTGTATCAACAACTATGGCCCGAAGGCGAAAACGTCGAGTCATAAAACGAAAAAGTCAAAAAGGGGGTGCGAGATTTAGGCGAAAACCACGTCTTGTGGATAAAATTGCCGAAGGGGTAGCCATGGGGTTGTCTGGTCCTTCTCCTAGTTTTATCAAATTAGGGGCCTTTTTAGGGAAACAAGCGCTGAAAGGTATAAAAGATAACGTACAACATTACAGACGGCGAAAATGATTCGACAACCCTCTAGTGTGATTGTAGCGGGTCCCTCAGGTAGTGGGAAAAGCGAATTAGTGGAAAAATTACTCAAAGAAAAAACATTGTTTGACCCTCCTCCGAAAAAAGTGGTATATTGTTATGATCGATGGCAACCCCGATTTGATCGCATGAAAAAACACGTTAATTTTTACAAAGGACTTCCTCCCGAAGGGGCTCTTGTTAAATGGTTTAAACCTGAACATCATGGCATACTCATTTTGGATGATTTAATGGAAGAATCAGGGAGTGATAAACGCGTCTTGGATTTATTTACGAAAGATTCTCACCATCGAGGCATTACCGCTCTTTATATTACACAAGATCTCTTTCCCCCGGGCAAGTTTGCGAAAACTATTAACCGCAATGCACACTATGTGATTTGTTTTAAATCACCCAGGGATAAGACAGGCATTCGACATTTACTGCTTCAAGTGTACCCTGAAAAATGGCGTCAAGTACTCAAATTGTTTTTAAAGCTAACAGCCCGTCCTTTTGGTTATTTTATGTTGGATTTACATCCTGCCTCGGATGACTGTTTTCGCATTTGGAGTCATTTAACAAAAGCAGAGGGAACAACACGCGTTCATACCTTTGACGAAGATATAAATAGCCGTTCTATCTCAAACCAACGCATTCGTCATCATGAAACAAAAAGGAAAAAGAAGAAAAGGTAGACCTGGTGTAGGAAGACAGAGAGGAGGTATTGCTCCTCTGTTAGCAGCAGCTATTCCAGCCTTAGTGAGTGGTGGAAAAGCCGTTGCTTTAGGTGGTTTAGGCGCGGCGGCTAATTATGGCACTCGGAAAGCGTTACGAGCTTTAGAGAAAAAGAAGTATAAAAGGAGGCGTAAACGAATGAAAAAATAAACATCATGACGGGGCGAATGACAAGACAGAGTCATTTCTTAAGAGATGTCTTAAAAGTAGCAAATCAAAATAATCGTCAGCAAAAATTACGTTATGCGAATGCGGATCAAATTAATGCAGTGAGTGAACTGGTGATGAACACGTTGCGTGGGGCTGTACGACCTGGTAGAAAGACGGTCAGTCGTTTAAAACCCTATCGTCAATCTCTCCGAGTCATTGCGAATCCTCGTCAGAGTATAAAAAGGCGCAAACATCTGATGACTACACAAATAGGAGCCGGTGCGTGGAAAGAATTAAATCGCTGCTATCACTGCGCTAAAAAACATTATCGTTATTAAGTCATGAAACGTAAAGTGTTACAACGACTCCTATGCATATTAGATTATGTGCTTCTCATTGCACAAATGATCAAAGAGTTTCAACAAAAACTCAAAGGGAGATGCAGACCCAAACAGATATAAGCGCATGGCTTGACTAGGATGTTCATTTGCCATCATGGACGGTATTTCATCCACACCGATTGAAAACTCTGTGAAATTTTTACGTTTGCGGGATAAATACAAATCTAATCTTTTAGACGATAGCCGCTTAACCAAAGCTGCTGGTTTAGCCGCTCAAAAAGAACTTTTGCTGGAGAGTCCTGCGCCAGATACTTGGAAAGAACCCCGTTTGAAATCCGTGAACCGAGAATTACAACAATGGGTTAAGAAAATTCGTCAGCCAGGAGGAACGCGCGGGATAGGGCAGGATGTTTCCGATAGCGATGATGAGGAGGGAAATTTAGCGGTTGGTCCATTACAGCAATTTATGGGGAACATTTCAAAAATCAGTAAAGCTATAAAAAGGAAAGCAGAACCGGTGACCCCTCATTCAGTGTTACAAACACCTGTAGTTAAACAAACTCCCTCCACCAGTAAAAAACCCAAGTTGACCTTTAAGACCGAATCCAAAGCAAAGCGGTTGTTACCCAAGACCCCTAAAAAGACTCCTTCATCTGGTTACAAGACCCCTAAAAAGAAAAAGACTCCTTCCCCTCCTTCCAGTGTTTTTAGTACAGCGGAAGAAGAAGAAGGCTTTGCTGCTAAATCCCCTTGGAAAAAAGCTCGGGAGAGTATTGAAAAAAAATTTAACGAGGCATCAAAAAGGGCTACAGAAAGAGCCTTAAAGAAACTCGCAACTGCTCCAGGCTGGAAACCGTTTGGGACACCAGCAAAAAGACGATTAGATGGCAAGGATTGGTAAAAGGAAGGCTCGCAGAAAAAGACCGCAAAAGGGAAAAAAGCGCGGTCAGCGTGGGGCTGCGTTGGATATTCAAAAATTAATTGAAAAAACAGGCAAAGAGTTTCATTGGCCTAGAGCAAATTACCTTGGTCCAGGGACCCGCCTTCAACAAAGACTGAAGAGGGGTGACCGAGGCATCAATAGATTAGACGAATTAGCGAAAATCCATGACATCGATTATTCCAAAGCGAAAAGTTTAAAGGACAAGTGGAAAGCGGACGATAAAATGATACGCGCTATTACAAACCTCCCAGGGAAGAAAACCAAACAAGAACGGATCGTCAAAGCCATTATGCAGACAAAACGCAAACTTAAGCTGTAATTCTGTTTGTTTTTTTATTCACTTAATAAAAATTTGTTGTTACAATTGAATTGTGTCTTATTCTTTCTTAAAATGCAGTCGAATCACGCACTGACTATCCGATTGAAATTGAACTAGTGTCCCATTTAATTCTTTGAGCGTGATTTCAACCTCTTCCCAATGATTGTCTTGTACCTCGTAAAAGTTTTCTCGGGTGGGTGAAAACGCATAGCGTTGTCTTCCTTCAGGCGCATAATAGACTTGGCCTAAGGATTGCGTGACGGTCACGCTGTTAGCGGTCACTTTGGCTGAGACTTCCAGGGGTCTGGGGTAGAGGTTTAAGGCATCTTCAAAACTTTGATTGAGGTTAATAAAACGCCAATCGGAGAGAGTACTTAAATGAAGCCAATTGCCAAGTATTTGGGTGGGTTTTCCCGTCTCCAAGGAACTGGCTCCTTTAGTGTGATTGGGGTAGCTATGTACCAAATTTGGTCCCATGCTATCGGCTTGATTAGACTTGGTATTTATCCAATGCAATGTTTCCGCCAACGGTTTGTAGACATAAATTGAATTGTCCGTATGGCTATGAGTTAAGACGAGTTCCGGTTGCACCCCGTCTTTATTCCACGCTAATGTATGCCAACGGGCTGAACTAAACTTAAAACCATCATCCAAACTAGCGTGCGCTGTTTCTTCTATTCTATGTTTCACTGTATTAAAAAAATCCACCCCTTCATGACAGGCGCCTGCTTTTTCCCATTCACGTAAATCACTTGCACTGATATAGCCTTTTTGCGACACACCGGATTGATTTGCTTTTTCAGTCTCAGCCCATAATTCCATTAAATTCACATCGGCACTCTGCACATCTTTAAATAGAGACATTTTAGGCAAAATTGCCGAAGCAATTGAGACTTTCCATCCTTCCCCGTGTAATCTTAACCCAGGTTTGACTTTAAACTGATTTGCCACATTACTCGCGTAATTTTGGGTGACATCGCTTACGAGGGTCAGGTAAATGTTCGACATTTTACGAAAAGTAACTTATCCATCCATGTCCCCTCTATTTATACTAACAGAGACCGCACCAATAATTTCTGTCGCGAACTTAGTTTACTAGCCATTTCACCTCCCTTCGATGAAATGTTACAAACCCTACTCCTAATTTAATCTCAAAAAGTTAAAAAGCATGCAAATATCAAAGAAGTTGGCGCCACCATGCAAACCTTACTTCACTTAAGAAAAAATCCAGAAAAAAACTATGTACAATGAACGAAGTTGGCGCCACCATGCAAACCTTACTTCACTAAAGAAAAAACTATTTACAATGAAAGTAAAAGTTCGACTTCTCCACCGAACCAGTTGTATCCGTAGGGTGTAGATACGCGAGTCCCAGGATCAATGACTCGTTTGTCAAAGACCAAACCGTACTTTTTCACTCGTTCGGTGAGTTTGATTTTCTTGGTTGTTTGATCTCAGGCAAAGAAATCAGGAATCGTAATGGCCATTTCTCGCCGCTGCTGCAGGGGCTGATTCAATTCTCTCAGGATATTATCCCGCATTGTGTAGTAATTGAGAATCTGGAGTGTCTCATAATTAAGGGTGAACCCGCGTACCTTACATTCCACTTTGCCTTTCTTGGTAAGATAGCCGTAATTCTTGGCACCACCACTGCAAAATTCCACGATAAAGTCACCGCCAAGTTCATCTGTAAACTGTCCGAGGTATGGACCCAGTGGCAGTTTTTCCTGACCAGGTTTGGTTTTGTAGATGACCGAGTCTGTATTGTAATACAAAGCTCGGTCACCTAAAAAATCAAGGGCTTCATACAGCTTAAGGCGAGCCAGAGATGTCGTGAAGGCCGCGACGAACACGTTTGTTTTAAAGCTCCGTTCATATTCTTCTTCCGCGATGGTAGTGACGATTTCCATCACGTCTTGGGAACAGATACGCATGGCAGAAATTTCAAAGGTTTTGTCATCCAGGATCCTGAACAAATGAGCAGGCTGCGTGATGCAATGGGTCATCGGTTTATTTTGACGTTCGCCAAATTTGCCCCATAAACTGAAAGATAGAATAAAAAATATACATTTGTTATTGTTTCCTTGGTGGTCCGCAGATTATAATTTTTGATTTCGACTGCGCATTGACCATTGCACTGTATAAAACATTTCGCAAACTGAAAAATGCGGAAAAACACTGCAAATAATTTTTCTTAAGTGCAGACTTTTTTACACATATTTCTCATACAAAACACTGTAATTTTTGATTTGTAGCGTGCATCTACGTTTGCGCAGTATAAATCATTTCGCAAACTGAAAAATGCGGAAAAACACTGCAAGTTAAATTTAAAATGTGCAGACTTTTACTGTAACTAAGACATTTTTCATCGTGAAAGATTTTAACATAACCAGTCACCTGTTCAAAAGCATCTTCGCAATCGATTTTCGGCCCGGATTTTCTGTGACATGCTCCAGTTTAATCCCCTCGTGTTTCTTGTAGTCTCGGATATAGGCAGCTTTCTGTTCTGGGGTTTCAACACCTGCGGGCCAACCAGCGCTCTCCTGTTTTAGCTTCAGCCAGGTGTTCACATAATCGGCAAACAGACCAGTGCAGCGGTTCTCTGGTGTAAAATGCCAGACTTCATGGATCTTGATAATTTGGTACCCCTTCTCGACGGCTTTCTGCAATTCTAGGGTGCACCAGGTACCATGTAACATTCGCTGCTCGCGAGTGTGACCACACATATTACTACGTTCGAGGAGCGGTTTGCTCATTTCGTCTTTAACACAGGTTCTGCATAACGGAAACGTGAGTTTTCCTCCTTCTCTGACGGGTAGAACGGGATGAAAAAGTCGCTCAGGCGCAAGGATGTCCACTTGAGCGATACCAAAGTAATTGTCAATGTTCTGATCAGCAGGATTGAGATAAATTTCCGGAAAGCATACAGGATAAGTTCAATATTTGTTGATTGAGGGGTACAGAGAAGTGAAATCTACATACAAAATTTCTTCTCCCTCAGCGGCTTTGGCATACAGGGTTGTGGCGCCGGTTTGTCCGCTAAAGAAGGCATCTCGTGGCTCGAGTGGTGACACTAATTCAAAGTTTTTCAGGAAGGATTGGAGTTCTGGGTCTGTTTTTTTCTGTTTGGCAAACTTGCAGCCCCATTTTTCAATCACAGTGTAGCCAGCCTCTCTGAGGATGGCGGTCTTTAGGCAAGTGGCTTGATAGACTTCTTCGACTGTTCGGTCCGGATGGCAATGTTTCTTCTTTTGGCGCTGGAGAGAAAAACATCGTTTGCAGCCGTGAAAAATGCATCCCTGGTACTTGTACACAGTATTGCTGTCTGCGTGAAAACCATCCACATTGTAGGACTGAGCTAGTGTTAAAACACGGGCTTCGCCATCGAGCGAGTTTCGCACATGCTGAAAAATAAAAAAATATACATTTGTTATTGTTTCCTTGGTGGTCCGCAGATAATAATTTTTGATTTCGACTGCGCATTGACCATTGCACTGTATAAAACATTTCGCAAACTGAAAAATGCGGAAAAACACTGCAAATAATTTTTCTTAAGTGCAGACTTTTTTACACATATTTCTCATACAAAAAGACATTTTAGGCAAAATTGCCGAAGCAATTGAGACTTTCCATCCTTCCCCGTGTAATCTTAACCCAGGTTTGACTTTAAACTGATTTGCCACATTACTCGCGTAATTTTGGGTGACATCGCTTACGAGGGTCAGGTAAATGTTCGACATTTTACGAAAAGTAACTTATCCATCCATGTCCCCTCTATTTATACTAACAGAGACCGCACCAATAATTTCTGTCGCGAACTTAGTTTACTAGCCATTTCACCTCCCTTCGATGAAATGTTACAAACCCTACTCCTAATTTAATCTCAAAAAGTTAAAAAGCATGCAAATATCAAAGAAGTTGGCGCCACCATGCAAACCTTACTTCACTTAAGAAAAAATCCAGAAAAAAACTATGTACAATGAACGAAGTTGGCGCCACCATGCAAACCTTACTTCACTAAAGAAAAAACTATTTACAATGAAAGTAAAAGTTCGACTTCTCCACCGAACCAGTTGTATCCGTAGGGTGTAGATACGCGAGTCCCAGGATCAATGACTCGTTTGTCAAAGACCAAACCGTACTTTTTCACTCGTTCGGTGAGTTTGATTTTCTTGGTTGTTTGATCTCAGGCAAAGAAATCAGGAATCGTAATGGCCATTTCTCGCCGCTGCTGCAGGGGCTGATTCAATTCTCTCAGGATATTATCCCGCATTGTGTAGTAATTGAGAATCTGGAGTGTCTCATAATTAAGGGTGAACCCGCGTACCTTACATTCCACTTTGCCTTTCTTGGTAAGATAGCCGTAATTCTTGGCACCACCACTGCAAAATTCCACGATAAAGTCACCGCCAAGTTCATCTGTAAACTGTCCGAGGTATGGACCCAGTGGCAGTTTTTCCTGACCAGGTTTGGTTTTGTAGATGACCGAGTCTGTATTGTAATACAAAGCTCGGTCACCTAAAAAATCAAGGGCTTCATACAGCTTAAGGCGAGCCAGAGATGTCGTGAAGGCCGCGACGAACACGTTTGTTTTAAAGCTCCGTTCATATTCTTCTTCCGCGATGGTAGTGACGATTTCCATCACGTCTTGGGAACAGATACGCATGGCAGAAATTTCAAAGGTTTTGTCATCCAGGATCCTGAACAAATGAGCAGGCTGCGTGATGCAATGGGTCATCGGTTTATTTTGACGTTCGCCAAATTTGCCCCATAAACTGAAAGATAGAATAAAAAATATACATTTGTTATTGTTTCCTTGGTGGTCCGCAGATTATAATTTTTGATTTCGACTGCGCATTGACCATTGCACTGTATAAAACATTTCGCAAACTGAAAAATGCGGAAAAACACTGCAAATAATTTTTCTTAAGTGCAGACTTTTTTACACATATTTCTCATACAAAACACTGTAATTTTTGATTTGTAGCGTGCATCTACGTTTGCGCAGTATAAATCATTTCGCAAACTGAAAAATGCGGAAAAACACTGCAAGTTAAATTTAAAATGTGCAGACTTTTACTGTAACTAAGACATTTTTCATCGTGAAAGATTTTAACATAACCAGTCACCTGTTCAAAAGCATCTTCGCAATCGATTTTCGGCCCGGATTTTCTGTGACATGCTCCAGTTTAATCCCCTCGTGTTTCTTGTAGTCTCGGATATAGGCAGCTTTCTGTTCTGGGGTTTCAACACCTGCGGGCCAACCAGCGCTCTCCTGTTTTAGCTTCAGCCAGGTGTTCACATAATCGGCAAACAGACCAGTGCAGCGGTTCTCTGGTGTAAAATGCCAGACTTCATGGATCTTGATAATTTGGTACCCCTTCTCGACGGCTTTCTGCAATTCTAGGGTGCACCAGGTACCATGTAACATTCGCTGCTCGCGAGTGTGACCACACATATTACTACGTTCGAGGAGCGGTTTGCTCATTTCGTCTTTAACACAGGTTCTGCATAACGGAAACGTGAGTTTTCCTCCTTCTCTGACGGGTAGAACGGGATGAAAAAGTCGCTCAGGCGCAAGGATGTCCACTTGAGCGATACCAAAGTAATTGTCAATGTTCTGATCAGCAGGATTGAGATAAATTTCCGGAAAGCATACAGGATAAGTTCAATATTTGTTGATTGAGGGGTACAGAGAAGTGAAATCTACATACAAAATTTCTTCTCCCTCAGCGGCTTTGGCATACAGGGTTGTGGCGCCGGTTTGTCCGCTAAAGAAGGCATCTCGTGGCTCGAGTGGTGACACTAATTCAAAGTTTTTCAGGAAGGATTGGAGTTCTGGGTCTGTTTTTTTCTGTTTGGCAAACTTGCAGCCCCATTTTTCAATCACAGTGTAGCCAGCCTCTCTGAGGATGGCGGTCTTTAGGCAAGTGGCTTGATAGACTTCTTCGACTGTTCGGTCCGGATGGCAATGTTTCTTCTTTTGGCGCTGGAGAGAAAAACATCGTTTGCAGCCGTGAAAAATGCATCCCTGGTACTTGTACACAGTATTGCTGTCTGCGTGAAAACCATCCACATTGTAGGACTGAGCTAGTGTTAAAACACGGGCTTCGCCATCGAGCGAGTTTCGCACATGCTGAAAAATAAAAAAATATACATTTGTTATTGTTTCCTTGGTGGTCCGCAGATAATAATTTTTGATTTCGACTGCGCATTGACCATTGCACTGTATAAAACATTTCGCAAACTGAAAAATGCGGAAAAACACTGCAAATAATTTTTCTTAAGTGCAGACTTTTTTACACATATTTCTCATACAAAACACTGTAATTTTTGATTTGTAGCGTGCATCTACGTTTGCACAGTATAAATCATTTCGCAAACTGAAAAATGCGGAAAAACACTGCAAGTTAAATTTAAAATGTGCAGACTTTACTGCAACTAAAAATTCATACCTGAATTCCGCCGCCAATCTTGGAATTTTCAAACTCCAACCACTGGTAAGCCTCCACACTCTGATTTTGTTGGTTTTGACGCCAACCGTTTCTGGGTTCAAGGGCAATGAGATCTCGAATGAGAAAGTTCTTTCTCCATACTTTATTGGCGGTACTCGCAATGGTCACGCATTCAATCACTGGATTAACTCCAGTCAGTTCAAACATTTCTTGGCCGAATGCTTCCAACGACTGTGCGAGGACTTCAACATCGCTATGCAAATAGGCAGAGACTTCCTTGTCAAAATCAAACACCGCATTGCTCTCCACTTTTTCTTTGTACCATGCGTAAAATTGTTTACGGCGTTTCTCGGACATTCTTTCTGGATGGTAGTCCTCTGCTGGTGGATAAAGGCCCACGTATCCATATTTGTCCTCGCATATCCACGAATACGCGAAAAATCCTTTGTGGGTTTCCGTCAAATTGAAGGTCGCTGGTAATTTCTCTAGCACCATATTAAAAAAATTTAAAGAATCACGAAAAATAAGGTTACCGCACTCAAACGACAAATACTTGGCACCCACACTCAATGCTTTGACAATCTGGTAGCCCAGATCATACAAAGCATGCAAAATAAAAGATGAATCGAAACCACGCATATTGTGAGCGTACACATAAACTTTCCGTTCTTTTCCGTCCTCAACAGTTCTCGCTTTGGCGTCACGCAATACATCCATAGCTGTTCCCGCTTCCTGGTAACTATCCCTCTCGCCCAGATACTTCCATCCAACACGCACTGCTTCAAACTCTTTCATTTCATCCGTTGTGCATTCAAAGTCCATGACACAAACCATGGGTTCTAGCATTTCTCCTTCGTTCTCTGCCTCCATCATAATTTCGTTGTCTGCATCTTATGAGTCTGTTTTTTCTTCGTCCACAATCGGTTGAATAAAACAACAGTGATTAACATGAGTGACTTGTTTACAGTTGCGGCAAAGGGCGTGTTGGCAGCAATGTTTCTTTTTGGGATTGAACTTGTACACTTGGCAGCATTCGTGACAATTTTTAAAGCGACTGCAAACACTTTTCGCTCCTTGTTTGTGTGCGTCATAACAGTTCTGTCCGTAAAACTTTTTATTACATTGATCGCAATAAACTTCCGGTGTCACATAGGTAGCGAAATTAGGGCACACTCCGTTCGTTCTTCTGCAACTGATACAGTTCTGGCCGCGACAATTATGATTCTGGGCTGTCTCTTCGTTGTAGCCTTTCTCGCAATGATGGCAATAATAGCTTCGGTTTAACAGCGCTGGAATGCTACGCAGACCGTGAAAGTGATTTTTTACTTTGAGCAGACAAAGTTTTTTGGAGGCATCATTGTAAGAATGATCTTTAAACCAAATCATGCCACATTGTCCTTCAAAGACAATGATTTGATACCCTTGAGGACCTAAATGATCTTGAAATTGTTGTAATTCTTCGGTACCACACGGTCCCTTGGCTTCTTGACAAAGTTTATGGGCGAGATAACCTTGCTGACCCTGACCTAATCTGATGGTCTTATATTGCGGATTTTCATCCACAAGGGCTTGGACTGTGACAAGGGCCCGCGGAGCACAAAGGTCATCTTTATTCTTGATGGTGATGAGAGATTTCTTCTTTTTGAGCATGTCTTCATACGACAGACTGCCGGGGTTTCCTTTTTTGCCTTCACACCCGCTTCCACGTTGACGATTTTTAAAGAACAACAGTTCAATGTAAAATTCGCCGCTGGATGCATCAAAACTCTCAGCTGAGTTTAATTGCTTGGCTAGTTTATCTAACCAATGTTCAGTGTATTCACTTCGATTAAGCCACTCTTCTAACGGAATAGGGCGGGTGCTGGTCCATGTGTGGGTGCCTGTACTGTGATGAACTGTCATGGACATGGACAAATCTTCAATACGGCCCAGTTCGTTTCTGGGGTCGCGGACATATTCGTTTAGGCCTTGCACCGTGCCCTCAGTAATGGCCTCTCCTTGCAATTCACCATTAGGAGGGCGAAGCTGAATTAAGCGAGAGCGAACAGCGTGTTGAACAGCAACCCCATCTCTCCATCGACGTATCGGGCCTATACGTTCCATAGTCACGGCAAATGGGCGATTTCCACCGTACTGATCTGCTCGGCGGGAAGCGGCTAGCAGATCCAAGTCGTCCTCGGGATTCATCAGAGCCTCTCCTTGACTAGCGGTCCATTCTAGCTCTTCAGCTAACATCTCTTCTAAACCGTCATTTTCTATAAGCGCACGTATGTATGGATCCATGTTACGTTTTTGAAGATCGTTTGGATAAGCTCCGCACAGTAAGACAGTAAAAACTGAATGACGCTTTCAGAGACGTGACTTAGTTAAATTAGCTGGGAGCGCGTGCTTCATTTTTCATTAAGTCATAATGGAAAAAGAACGTTCTAATGAGCAATTCAAGGTTGTTCAAGGTTGCCCAAGATTGCCTAATGACCTATTTTAACTTAGTCAGCTATACTCTTTGTTCTTTTTCTAATTAATTTTTTAACTGATCCCTCTATAATAAATCTTTGTTCGTTTTTCCAAGTAATTTTTGGCTGAGTCAGCTATACTCTGTTCGTTTTCTAAGAAATTTTGGCTAATTCAGCTTTACTCTTTGTTCGTTTTCTAAGAAATTTGGTTGATTCAGCTTTAATCTTTTCTTTTTCTTGAGTGTTCATTAAGTTCTAAGAAAACCCCTACCAGCCTGAGTGTTCATTTGACAGATCTCAGTTCATCTCTTTTTCCCAAAGACACAAGTAAATTACACACAAACTTAACTTTATTTTCATTTTACCTCCCTTCGGTAAAACGGTACAATAACTTTCTTACTAAATGCAATGAGAGGAACGTATTTAACCGCTAGTCGGCTAAGTCCTTTTCAAAGCGCTTTTTTCTTATTTACCAACTGGAGCATATCAGATCCCTAATGAATCTGGTCCAACAAAGTCATCTTGATAATCTTAAACAAAACCCAAAGACTGCATCACTCTTTGTTCAAGTACCTGACGCCTTTCTAAAATTTGCGTACCCCTATATAACTTAAAGATTTTGCGTCGTTCCCTTTCAAAATTAACTCTTTCATAACGGTCATGTCTCATTTGACCTTCCACGCTCAAACATTCAACAGCAATTCTCAGACACTGTGAACAGTTTCCTTGATTAAGAGAAAGCCATTGGGCTGATCTACAGAAATGGCGATTCTTGATTTGTCGCAAACATTTTCTAAAGAGAATAAAAACAAAACTTACATAAATTCTAAGCGTCTACGAATTTGCGTATAGTAAAAACGTCAAATTAAACGTGCCTCTTCATTTTTATCAACAAATTTCTTTTGCTTTTTTAAACGTAAACCGTCTAGTGTTAACTGGGTTGTCCTAATTCTTTTACATTGGGAACACATAGGTATCTTCGCATTCACGGGAATCCATTCTGTTTTATGACAATACATGTTCCATCTTCGCTGTTTCAACTGATTCAAACAATTTCTAAAAATAAAACAATCAAGAAGCGCGTTTAAAAACACGTTCAATCGAATAATTATCTACGAGTATAGTAAAAAAGACGTATTAAACGTGTTTCCTCATTTCGGTCAACTTTTTGTTTTTGCCTTTTCAAACGTAATCCATCTAACGTTAAACCCGTTGTCCTAATTTTTTTACAATGTTGACATCTTCCGTCTTCTCCGTACTTAATTGCGATCCATTCGGTTTTATGACAATACGTATTCCATCTTTGAAGTTTCAGCTGAGTTAAACATTTTCTAAAACAAACATCAACAAGCGCGTTTAGAAACACGTTTTACAGTTCAATCATACAACATTTGGTCTTCACACTTAACCATGTGCAATCTCTAATCCAAAACAGGGATTCCAGAATCGGTCTAAAAAGCAACATGAACTAAAGTAAATCGTCGATTTGTTTCCACAATCGATTTAAAAACGCAACATTGCTCGGGTAAATTTTTGAGTTTGAAAACCAGGCTTCGATAAAACACAAATCTGCGTAGACAAACCTGAAATTGACGCAATGTTCTTGTTTATACTTATTTCTGTCTTCGATGTATTGCTGCGCTTGAAGTTCTTTTGCCACTGGATGCCATGGAACCAAAAACGTTTCTGCCATCAAACCCTTGTTGGGCACTGCTTCAAAGGCGAGTTGGTACAAAGTCTTCATCTTGAGCAACGGATATCTTGACAGTGTGATGAGCAGAGCGGAGTGACTTTTCGCAAACTTAGCCTTGCTTTATGCTGTTCATGGGAGATTCACGCTCATTGGTGCGGGGACAACAAATGCGGCACGGCAAAAACCGATTACCTTTTCGCCGTTCTTTCAAGTTTTAAACCTTAGCGGCAAAAAAGTTCGCTGCTCTTTTAAGTTTAACGGTTGGCGGCAGAAACAATTACCCTTTTCGCTCTTTTTCAAGTTGGACTCTTTTTGTTTTGCAATCTGTTTTAAGATGAACCAGAAAAAATTTTATTTTCAACGATGGCTTCGCCTTTTGAAACCGAGGGAACTTTCCTAACGCAAGAACAAGCAGACCATATTAACGAAAGACATGTTTCAAAGAACGAACATTTGAGAGCCTCTAAGTTTGAGTCACAAATCGATTTAGTCGATTTGTTAAAGGCTGTCTCCGAACTCACCTGGGAACATCATGAAGACATCTCCGTAATACACGAGGGCTGGAACAATTATCATGGACGCTTTTATTTGTTCGCGTGTAAACTAAACCGGCAAATTGGTACAGACCCGGAAGGCTTTCCTGCCAAACACATCGCTGTGTATTATTCTGAGAAAGTACCAGGCGAGAAATGGCAAATAATAACTTCCTATCCGTTCACCTGGGGATTCTATTCTCAATTTCTAAGTAGGAAAAACAGATCCTACTAATTCGTCTTTTGACGAACCCACAAACGGTTCCTTTAGGAACCAACAAATGATTTAAAGTCAATGACCAATAATGAGAAAGACTAGTTTATTTTGTAGTAAACTTTCGTCGGGAACGGGCTTAGCGCAGTGCGTTAAGCGTTAGTACCGACGACAGGTAAATTTTCATTACGTTAAAGCTTACGCGTTCGATTCTCTCTCTTT